TATGATACTATACACGACACTGCTTTTACACTACTATACACTACTCAATACACTACACTATACACTACACTACTATACACTACATTATACACTACATACTATACACTACACTACTACATACCTGTCAACCCCTTATTACTGCCTACCTTTCTATAGACCAATTCAAAGCTTATATTGGTCACCCCGACCTTGAAGCCAGCCATCCCAACACCACCTGCATTTTTCAGACCCTGCACCTGAATAGCGAAGTGAAACGGGGGAGTTCCATGAGGTGACCGGCGCGTGGTTTGGAGGTCAGAGTCCACCGAACCTTGGGGGTGGTACGCGTCCCGGTTGGGTCCCGTCCAGCCATGACCGCGTGCGGCGAGTTGTGTTAACGTGGCCCGGCCTCCAATGACTGCGCACAAAAACACATAAATTCCACACTTGGATAATAAAAATATCGGTTTGACTCTATCATTTGGGGACCCTCTTTGCCTTTATTAAAATGACGAACAGATTTCGATTTAAAGCTTTCGTGACTGCAGGGATTTCATCTTCTTGGTTTTTTCGGTAAAGTTTGTCTACTCGACAGACCTGCTCTCCCACCTGAGGACGGCTGCTTGCGTTGTGGCCGAAACGTCATGATAATTATTTTATAATGTTTTATTTTTATTATTTATTATTCCATTCTACGTGACCTTTACCGAAAGAACCAAAGGGTATGGATTCCTGCAGTCACGAAAGCAGCTTCAAATCAAGATTGAATTAATAGGCTTTACCCTTGTGGTCGTGCCTGTTGGTGTCCTTTGGTCGAACACTGGTGAGACATGACTATAAAGGAGGCTGTCTCTGGTGTAGACCAATCATTTCCCAAGACAAATGCAAAGATTTATCAAAGGAGGTGTGATTGCACGTCTTAGCAAAAGCAAGATGTGTGCTTAATGCCCACTTGATGCCGTGCAATAGATTCATCTCTTGGTTCTTTCGGTAAAGTCACGTAGAAGGGAAATAATAAAATAAAAAAATAAAACATAATAAATTAATTCCCATGACGTTTCGGCCACAACGCAAGCAGCCGTCCTCAGGTGAAGAAAGGTCTGTCGGAAAGACTTCAGACGCTGTCTCCCCGACAGACCTGGTCTTCACCTGAGGACGGCTGCTTGTGTTGTGGCCGAAACGACGTGAGAATTATTTTATTACGTTTTATTTTTATTATTTTATTACTTCCCTTCTACGTGACTTACCGACAGAACCAAGAAGATGAATCCCTGCAGTCACGAAAGCTTTAAATCGAAATTTAGCCGTGCAATAGCTTTGTCTCTTTGCTGTTTGAACATCTTAACACCTCCTGTATTATTGCCGGAAAAGGGTCGAGCCTATTCTGTTTTCATCGGTTTGCCCGTATTGCAAACTAATTAATCTAAGCCTCATAGCCAGAGTGTGTCAATAATTGCGGGGAACGGTTGTGTAGCGGTTAGCGTGCTGCGCCTCGAACCCAGCCTCCCGATGTTCGATTCCCGGCCAACAACCACCGCCCATAGGTCCATCGGCCTCAAATGAGCACCTGGTGCGGTGTATAAAACATTGGCACTGGGGAGACAAAGGCGGCTGGGCGTGGTGTTGGCGGTCACCGCCCACCCCCTGTGCGCCATGCCGGCCTTCGTAGGTGATGCTCGCTAACAGTGTCCGACGAGAGCAGTTGTCAGGAAAATGTCGGATCGAGGCTGATCCTTGCCATTTAACATTCCATCTTATTGAGGGACTGCTACTGTGTGTTGCCTTGGTGTGGTCTGTGTCTCTTTTGTTGTTGTCGTTGTTGCTGCTGCCTTGCTCAAGATTGATAATTCGGACTTATACAATCAACGCATTAATTTCCCACACTGGACGCGTGCGAAATAAGAGTTTTCACAGCCCTGTCGGATTCCCCCTCGTCCAGCACTGAATCGTAAGCTTCTGACTGGGATGGTGTTGATCGTGTTGAGCGTGTTTGACCGTACTTGTCCGCGTTGGTCCCCAGCACCCCGGCGGCGAGTCCGTGCTGCTGGAGAAGTCTGGGAAGGACGCGACGGAGGCGTTGAGGACGCGGGTCACTCGGGGGACGCGCGCGACATCATGCAGCAGTACTACATCGGCGAGCTTGAAACGGTATGTGCACAACAACAACAACGGAGGCCGCCAATCCCCACCGAGTGGCGGTGACATGACCACGGCACCTGTGCCAGGCCAGGAGCACTTGGAGGCACACCTGTTCACAGACTCACACTTACGGGCTCGCACACGGAGATTCACTCGCGCAGAATCGCGCACACATAGACTCACTCACAGACTCAATTACAGACAGACTCACAGACTCGCACACAGTGTGAGACTTGCGCAGAATCGCACACAGAACCGTAGACTCACTGCCAGACTCGCACAGACTCCACCCACACAGACTCACAGAGATACACACAGACTCACACAGAGATACACACAGAGATACACACAGACTCACACAGACTCACACAGACTTACACAGACTCACACAGACTCACACAGACTCACACAAACTCACACTGAGATACACACAGACTCGGATGCACTCAGACTCTCACACACACAGTGAGACTCACTCACACAGAGACTCGCACAGAGACTCCAAGCAGACGCAAAAACAAAGATCCCCTATCTTATAGCCTTAACAGACTTTTGGAGCAAGTGCTGTTAGCGAGTAGCACCTACGAAGGCCGGCACTCCACACGAAGAGGCGGGTGACCAACACCACGCCTGGCCGACTTTTCCTCACACCGCACCAGGTATTCATTTGAGGCCAAGTCGACCTAGGGGAGGTCCAGAACCGGTTCAGGTATATCCATCGACAATCTTGGCTGTGAGTGGGAATTGAACTCAGCGAAAAGTGTTCCCTTGGGGAAGATCTGCTTTGTAGAACAAACGCGTTGTGAGATCACGCGGTAAGTGTGTGTGTACGTTACCATCGTGGTTACCATCGTGGTTAACATTGTCGGTTATCTTTTGCAGGAAGGGTCAACGTCGGAAAGGCCGCAGGTAAGAAAGGCATCAACGCGCAGAGTTCTAAATCCCTCTGGTCCACACCGACAGCACCAAATATGTTAACCCTGCTGTGCCACACTCGATGCACTACAAGTTCGACTTAAAAAAAAATACTTACTGGACATCTGTAAAAGAAAAATAGTAGTTAGCAGTAGTACTTGTTGGCGTGTTTTTGCGGTCGGCCGCCTTCCCGATCGAGCGAGGAGTGTCTCGATAATTGATCGAGCGGCGTTCGTGTAGCCATCGACGTGCGAGAACTTAGCACCAAGCTGGCACTGCCAATCTCGGCTCGGCTCTGACACCTCGTGCCGGTGAACCGCCGTGTGCGCTTCGTGCCGAGTCTGCTGCTTCTCGCGCGGGAGATGACCCGGTTGCCCTAAACACATTGTTCTGCGGAGGGAGCTGGTAGGAACGTTGGGTTGCTCGGTCAATGGCCAGGGTCAACGGCGGCGTGGTGTATTCTGCAAATATGGCTGACTGTGAGGGCGGACACAAGTGGGCGTGAGTAGGTTAAACGTTGAGTTTTATAAGGGCACCACGGGGTGACCAGCCCCTCCCCACCCAGCCCCACCCCTCCCACCCTCCCAACCCAGCCCCTCCCCACCCTCCCCTCTCCACCCAGCCCCACCCCTCCCATTTTTGGATGCACGACGGACAGACACAATAATTCCCTGTGGGCTGGTGTAACCAGGAGGTTCCTACTAGTAAAACTAAAACTGCAATTTTTTTTATTTTATTTGACCAGGTAAGGCCCCAACTGAGCTGCTGCTACGTAGCTCTTTTAAATCCTTTATATTAAGTTCGCTTGCTTGCGTGCTTGCTTGCTTACGACCGTGCAAATCTTTCGATCGTTTTTTAACCCACTTCCCGTGATCCAATCGAGCTGACATTTTGCACACAGACTCGTTGTGCGAGACAATTAATGTTCGTGAAAATTTCCAAAATTGTACACTGTTTAGGGAAAACAAATTAAATATTGAATTACCAATTGCATAATACTGGCAGACAATCATCTGACCCATAGGTGGCAGCCATCTCAAGCCAGAGGACGAGATGACTCTAGCTGCCACGCATATAAAGGATTTATAGTGAAAAACTTTGTTTTTACGGGTTATACTTGTTCATAAGTGACCTCGCCACACATCATGATAGCGCGACAAAGTGGCTTATCGTCACGTGGAACATTTACAGCGGCCAAACACTCGGGGAACGCGTGACGTTGATGCTAAATGTGGAGGGAAAAAAACGGCGGACACAGAGATAAATCCTCGTGACCACGGGGTAGAGGGAGAGAGAGAGATGCAAACAGACATCGTCCGGGTAAGAATCGCACCCACGACCTCCTGTATACCAGGGGAGGTAGTTAACCTCTCTGCCGCCCCCCCCCCCCCCCCCCCCCGATTTCTGTTTTCTAGGCGAAGAAAATACCGGGGTGCTCCTCGCCGAGGTCCGCCAAATGGTGCGTGCTCCGCAAGTTTCACGTCTTTGCTTCCTTCTACATTATAAAATAAAATAAAAGTTGTTTTATTTCTTGGTTCTTTCGTAAAGTCACGTAGAAGGAAGTAATAAAATATAATTATTTTATTAAGTTTTATTTTTATTATTTTATTACTTCCCTTCTAAATAATAAAAATAAAACATAATAAAAGAAATTTATTTTATTTTTTTAATTTTATTATTTCCCTTCTACGTGACTTTACCGAAAGAACCAAGAAGATGAATCCCTGCAGTCACGAAAGCTTTAAATCGAAATTTAATCTGTTCTTACTTTCGTCATTACCCCCCCACACAATTTTTACTCGCGCCGTGAGGCCGGAAGCATCCGTCGCAGAACCTTTCACGTCGCTTCTCGTCCGCACGGTCCGGGGAGCGGCACTTTCTCTCACCCGCCCCTGCTTACAGATTAATTCTCACAGCTGGAATTGAGCTAAATGAAGTGCAGAACGCAATTTAATTGAATGGTAATTTTTAGAACTTGTTGTTGTTGTTCAGTCATTGGTGATGACTGGTTGAGAACTCGGTATAATCACGGGCAGTGGCTGCAACCCGGATCCGAACCAAGGTCGATATTGTTTACATCATCGTTTGAGCTGTGAAAAGTTTGTAATCTAACTGTGGTGGCCGGGGGTTGTTTGGAGATCATGATTCCGTCCTATAATCGATTATTGTATTCGCAGTGTGGCCTGAGGAGTAGTGGTGTAGGTGGTACCGCGGTGGTGAGATGTTATCTCCCTCGCCTTGTGTGCAGGAGGTCGTGGATTCGGTCCCGACCCAGATGCCTGCTGTATCATTGGAGTTTGCGTGTCTCTCTCTTACCGTGGTCGCGTGGGTTTTTCTCCGGGTCCTCCGGTTTTCTCCCTCCACATTTACAGTCGACATGCGTTCACATCATTTGGCTGCTCTAGATTTCCACGTGATGATAGGCCACTTTGTTGAGCTATCATTTATGTACAAGTGTCACTTCTGAAAAAGAACAACATAGTTCAGTGGGGCCTTACCTGGTAAAAAATAAAATAGCGGTAGTAGACTCCTAGTCGCAACTAAATTTCCCGATGATGACGATGATGATGACGACGACGATGACCACGATGATGATGATGACTGATGACGATGACGACGACGATGACAATGACCACGATGATGATGATGATGACGACAATGACGACGATGATGATGACGACGACAATGACGACGATGATGATGGCTGATAATGACGACGAAGACGATGATGATGATGACGACGACGACGATGACCACGACGATGATGACCACGATGACGATGATGATGACGACGACGACGACGATGACCACGACGATGATGACCATGATGACGATTATGACGACCATGATGATTATGATGACGATGATGAACCGTGGCTAACGTCCGTCTCCCCGTCGCGCTGTTGCGCCGGCTCCGTGTGGTTCCAGCTGCTGCTGGCTGTGGCTGGCGCCGGCGGTGGCGGTCGGGTTGGTGGTCGCCTGGCGCTACTACCGCAGGGCCTAGCGGGGGCCACGCGGGAGCCACGCGGGAGCCACGCGGGAACTTTCCAGCCAGCCCGGCCAGCCTGTACGAGGCCTCGGGAGCTCGGCATTCCGTACGCTGAACCTTCACTCGCAGCCTAGCCCAGCCACTCGACACAATGACTCAGAACTCGGCCCGCAACTAGCTACCAACAAAGCCCAGCTATCCTCAACCAAGACTTGTCATCATCATCATCATTCATTACGCCGATGTCGTGCCTCACACAAGCGTAAAAACAAGTGCCGGGAGCGGCAACCGATGCAAATCGAGAAGCACAATTGAACGGAGGACTCGTGGACTCAGATTCACAATAATTTTTCAAAAAAAAAAACCTTGAGTACCAACTCTGCACTACCAGCTCAGCCCTGCCACCCTGTTGTACCAGGACCTGACCCTACCAACTCAGCCCTGCCACCCCGCACCTATCAGCACACAGACCTGACGCTCGGCCAGTCCCGCCGGCTAGCCTTCCCAGCTAAGGCGCGTGACCCACTCTGCACTACCGGCTCTAGCCCAGGGGTCGGCAAAACCTGCGGCTCTTGAGCAGCATGCAGCCCTTTAGAGGAAGCGCTTCGTGTACGTTATTTATTGAGGACCACCACCATCTCGTATTGACCACGTGCATTGCGCGGCTCTTGAGAGATCGATTTTATTTTTACCGAATAAAAAAAAAATGTTATTTCCATTGCCGACCCCCGCGCTAGCCCGAGGACTCGTCACCAGACCCAGCGTGCTACCTGCTTAGCCCTGCCACGCTGCGCAAGGACTACAGCTACTCGGGTTGCCCCTTCAGCCGGCGCAGTACCGTCGGCAGAACAGGCTGCGGACTACCCGACATCAACTGCGTGCCTGAGTACCCAGCTGTTTCCAGCCCCCCCGTCTTCTCCCTCCAGAGGAGAGGCCGACGAGAAACATGGAAACATGTGCCCACCTCGCCCACCTCTCCCTGCATTAGCCCTAGGGGCTCGCTCTCTCTCCCCTGCTTTGCCACGGTGGCTAGGAGATGTTAACTATCTCGCCCGGTGTGCAGGAGGTCGTGGGGTTCGATCCAGACCCTGACGCCTGCTGCTGTATATTTGGAGTTTGCATGTCTCTCATCATCATCATCACGGTGGCTAGGAGATGTTAACTATCTCGCCTGGTGTGCAGGAGGTCGTGGGGTTCGATCCAGACCCTGACGCTTGCTGTGTATTTCGAGGTGCGTTTCTCTCTCCCCGTGGTCGCTCGGATTTTTTTTTTCTCTCCGGATCTTCCGGATTTTTGTCCCCTCCACATTCAGAATCAACGTCGCACGTTCAGAGTATTTGGCTGCGATGAATTTCCACGATGATGATGATAAGCCACTTTGGTGGAGCTGTAAATTGTGGCCAGTTCAATTCTGAAAGAGAGCTATACAGCTCGGTGGGCCTTAGCCGGTAAAATAAAATAGTTATGAGTTTAGCTTTTTACAACCGCTAGCCTGCCCACTGGCGAGCCCAAACATTGGTTGCTGCGTCGGGTTTATTGAGCCCAGGTACGGGCCGTTTGGCTCAGGGGTCAGAGACACTGAGCTGGCATTCCCTGGGTTTGACGCCCGGTTTCAGCCGCCCTTTGTATTAAAACCCAGAACGGCGTGCGTGTGCGCGCGCGCGTGTGTGTGTGCGTGAGAGTGGTCCTTGATAGGTGCTCGCTATAACAGCACTCGCTCCAAACAGTCTGTTCAGGCTATACGGGGGGATCTTTTGTCTTTGATGGCCTGCGGAAGCGGATATCATAGAACATCTTGTGAGATCCCTTCATAGTAACTTTTTAAAAAATGAATTGAAACACTATGGGGGTGGGGGGGGGGGGCAGGGCGGTACTTTCTTGCCTGCCCCTGCTGCAGAGAAAATATTCGTCCACGCGACAACCAAAATGATATCGTGAATTGTCAGGGGTGGAATTCGGCTAAACTAAGTGCAGAACCAAATTGAATGTAATCGTGGTTATGTTTTTTTTTTACACAAAGTAATTGGCGACCAGGCTGAGGGCCATCGCCTCGCGAGACTTGAGAAGTCTGGTTCTCATTGCAGGGCAGGATTGGAACCCGGACTTCTCAGCGGTGCCGGCTCCAGCGCCTCGGCTTGGTCGTCTTAAAAAAAAAATCGTCGATCAAATTTGTGAATTTCTTTTACAATAATGTAACCAACGTGACCAGCGGTGTTCGTATATATTTCTATATATTTGTCGTCGCAAAGAGACTTAACGTTTTTTTGAGTTGAAACTTAACAAAACGTATCCCGATAAAAAAAGAATAGTTTTTTTTTTGCCTTCCTGGCAATAAATCAGGAGGTGACAAGGTGTTCAAACACCAAATAGACACACACCTATTGCAAGGCATCAAGTCTGCATTAACCACACGCATTTGTGGTAAAATATGCAAAACAAACATGCACTGATAATAGATGGCATTGTCCTTTGAAACGGATTGGCCTACGCCAGAGACGGCCTCCTTTAGGGCCTTCCCACTGGTGTTAGATCAGAGAACAACGCCAAAAGGCGGACAGCGCAAAGGCAATGTAAATATCACAGCATCAATAGCTCGGGTTTGAGCAGATGAAACGTAATCCGGTTGGCCAGGCAGACGGTCGTAAAGGGATGTGGCCAATCGCGCGCGGTTATATTAACCCTTCTTGGTTCTTTCGGTAAAGTCACGTCGAAGGGAAGTAATAAAATAATAAAAATAAAACATAATAAAATAATTCTCACGACGTTTCGGCCACAACGCAAGCAGCCGTCCTCAGGTGAGGTGAGGACGGCTGCTTGCGTTATGGCCGAAACGTTGTGAGAATTATTTTATGTTTTATTTTTATTATTTTATTACTTCCCTTCTACGTGACTTTACCGAAAGAACCAAGAAGATATATGAACCCTTTCCTGTTCCGATGACGTACGTGGACGTCATCAGTTTTTTCCATCTGATTCCGTTACGATGACGTACGTTAAAATCATCAACAGAAACAGGAATTATGAAATAAAATAAGTTTATCGGTACCGAGGCTCGGCATGTGGCACGGTTTGGTGCCGGCTATCGTAGAGCTGCGGGCGGTTCGCTACAGTTCTCTGCGGTGAGTAACAATGTCTTTAAGAACAACGGCGCTACGGCCCCTCTGAGTAAAACGAACGCAGAGCCGTTAAATTTCGATTTAAAGCTTTCGTGACTGCAGGGATTCATCTTCTTGGTTCTTTCGGTAAAGTCACGTAGAATGGAAATAATAAAATAATAAAAAATAAAACAATTAAATAATTCTTTGTGGCCGAAACGTCGTGATAATTATTTTATTATGTTTTATTATTATTTTATTATTTCCATTCTACGTGACTTTACCGAAAGAACCAAGAAGAACGCAGAGCCGCATGTGCGGCCCGAGATTCAGACGGGAACGGGGCCCGCAAAGGGGTTAACAGTGCCGCTGACCGCGTCTTTGGCGGCAGTCAACGCACTGGGAGATGGGGAGGAACCCCCCCCCCCCCCCCGATGAAAATTGTCGAGGCTGTGAGAGGCGCAGGCCAGCAGCGGACGAAACTTTCTGGCTTTGAGGGCGACCCGACTTGTGTTTGTGCTCAATCCGGAAACCCCCATCGCCCGCCGCGGCGGGTCCGGTTACGTCCTTGAAAATAGCCGCAGTCGGCAAAATCCGCGATCTGCAAAATCTGCGAACTGCAAACTCAAAGGCATTGTGGGGAAAACTCAGGGGGGGTGGGGGGAGGTTGGTTCACGGTTCGTAATACGACACCCATCCTTTTACTGTATTGTCACCTTACATCAACCCCAGCCATGTATCGTGTCAAATACAACTAGTCCGGTAAATGTGTAGGATGACGACAAATTCACGTCGCGTGCAATACCGGGACCACGTGAGCAGGTGGTAAAGACGCGGCTCGCTTCGGTGACTCCATCGCGTCTGCCGAACCGCGTTGGAGCGGACGAAGCGGGCGCATCTCGTATTGCAGAACCAGGTAGGGGGGGGGCAGCCGTGGACAGGAAAACCCAGGAGGAGGAGGAGGGGGGGTCTGCAAATCTGCGGCTCTTTAAATGACGGCCTCGTCACGTTATTGACGCGGAGTCGCGGCTCTGAAAAACACGGAGGTGTTTTTTTGGTTGTACCGAATTCGGCTTAACGCACACACACACACACTGCCTCTTGTCGTTATTTCGTTGCCGACCCCCCCCCGGGATGAAGAGAAGGCGGACCCCGAGTCCCATGAAACGCGCTGGGGGATTTTTTTTTTGTGTGAAACCGTGACTGCGTTCCACGGCTCGCTCGACGTGCGCCATCGGTGATTTTTAAAAAATCCTTTATATTAAGTTCACTTGCTTGCTTGCGCGCTTACGACCGTGCAAATCTTTCGGTCGTTTTATAACCCACTTCCCGTGATCCAATCGAGCTGACATTTTTTATATTTAATTACCAATTGCTTAATGGTGGCAGGCAATCATCTGACCCATAGGTGGCAGCCATCTCAAGCCAGAGGACGAGAGGACTCTAGCCGCCACGCACATAAAGGATTTATAGCGAAAAACTTTGTTTTTACGGGTTCATTTGTTTTGTTCCCTCCCCTGTCGTTCGTGACCTCCTCTCGCCAACGCGTCGCTCGGAACGACGTCCGACGTTTTACGCCGCGCGGTGCCGGGGGCCTTGCTGGCAGGAAACGGAAGAACTTCTGCTTAGTCAGGCCGGAAACTCGAGTTCCCGGATAAAGCTCTGCACCCCCCCCCCCTCCATGCAGGAGGTTATGAGTTCGATCCTGACCCTGACGCCTGCTGCTGTATGTTTGTAGTTTGCGTGTCTCTCTTTCACGATCATCACGGTGGCTAGGAGATGTTAACCACCTCGCCTGGTATGCAGGAGGTCGTGGGTTCGATCCTGACCCTGACGCCTGCTGCTGTATATTTGGAGTTTGCGTGTCTCTCTCATCATCATCACGGTGGCTAGGAGATGTTAACCACCTTGCCTGGTATACAGGAGGTCGTGGGTTCGATCTCGACCCTGACGCCTGCTGCTGTATTTTTGGAGTTTGCGTGTCTCTCTCTCATCATCACGGTGGCTAGGAGATGTTAACCACCTCGCCTGTTCTACAGGAGGTCGTGGGTTCGATCCTGACCCTGACGCCTGCTGCTGTATATTTGGAGTTGGCGGTGTCTCTCATCGTGGTCGTCGTGTGAATTTTTCTCCGGGTCCTCCAGTGTTTCGCTCCACATTTAGAATCAACGTCACGCGTGTGTGTAGAGAAATGTAACCCCAATCATTAAATCCATTAATCATTCGCTATCATCAACTTCGCTTTCACCGCATTCACACATCTTCACAGATTACAACCCCACATTGCTTCCTCTTATTTTATTTTTTCCACTTCTACCACCACCACGACCACGACATTCGTACGTCGTGCCGTCGTTAATTCTGTGTAAAGCGCCTTTGGTTCAGGCGCCATAGAAATTCCGTCAGGACAACGTCTGTGCGGTGAACCACCGACCCTCGCTGCCACCCACGGTGACTGGTTTGCAGGCCACGTGTGCGGCAAGCCAGTTGTCGCCAATCGCCAGCCAGTCGGGTTGCTGCGTGAAGAACGTCACGCGCTCAGAGGTTTTGGCTGCTGTAAATTTCCACGCGATGGGGGAGCCGTTTTGTCGTCGAGCTTACATTTATATGGCCAGGTCGCTTCTGTAAACGAGCTGCATTGCTCGGTGGGCCTTAGCTGGTCGAGTAAAAGGAAAAAATTAAACCCGTAAAAACAAAGTTTTTCACTCTAAATCCTTTATATGCGTGGCGGCTAGAGCCCTCTCGTCCGCTGGCTTGAGATGGCTACCACCTATGGGTCAGATGATTGTCTGCCACCATTAAGCAATTGGTAATTAAATATTTAATTATTTTTCCCTAAACAGTGTAAAATTTGGGATACATTTTTTCACGAAAATTAATTGTCACGCACAACGAGTCTGTGTGCAAAATGTCAGCTCGATGGATGACGGGAAGTGGGTTAAAAAACGACCGAAAGATTTGCACGGTCGTAAGCAAGCAAGCACGCAAGCAAGCAAGCGAACTTAATATAAAGGATTTAAAAAGAACAAGTAAATAGACGCACGAGCGATTCGTGACCTCCGGGTACCCGTGTAAGCCCCCCAGGTATGCACGGGTATTGAGCTATTTCCGAGTTACTTGCGTTACCTCCCACACAGACCTCCGGTTAGCACGCATGGCTACGTACGGGTGCGCGAAAGAAGAAATTTAACATACTCATAGTTCTTTCGGTAAAGTCACGTAGGTAAAAAATTAAATAAAAATTAATAAAAAATGAAATAAAATCACGACGCAAATCTGGCTGTGACGGTCCCACCTGATGACGGAGACTTGTGTTGCCTCCGAAACTTCGTGAATTATATTTTATTCTTTATTAATTTTAATTTCATTTTTTACCTACGTGG